ATCCGCAGATCTCGTCTCCAGCTCCGTGAGCGTTTCCGCTCCGACTTCCCTGTCCTGCGTCTGCACTCTGACAGAGGTGGGGAGTTTTCCTCTGGCCTATTGGAGGCCTTCTGTCAGCAGGAGGGCATTGAGCAGTCGTACACGCTTCCGGCCTCTCCACAGCAGAATGGGGTTGCTGAGCGCCGCATTGGTCTGGTCATGGAGGTCGCTCGTACCTCCTTGAGCCATGCGGCTGCCCCCCATTTTCTGTGGCCGTTTGCAGTCCGATACGCTGCGCATCAGCTCAACCTCTGGCCCCGTGTCTCCTTGCCCGAGACTTCTCCGACACTGCGTTGGACGGGAGAGGCTGGCGATGCGTCGCGTTTTCGGGTCTGGGGATCCCGAGCTTTTGTCCGCGACACGTCCGCGGACAAGCTCTCCCGTCGCGCTGTCCCCTGCGTCTTCCTTGGCTTTGTCCCGGACGCCCCTGGCTGGCAGTTCTACCACCCCACCTCGCGTCGTGTCCTGGCCTCTTAGGACGTCACTTTTGACGAGTCCGTCCCCTACTACCGCCTCTTCCCCTACCGCACTGCCCCGCTCCCCCCCCCCGCCTCTCTTCCTCGCTCCAGGTGCTGAGGTACCAGACCCCCTCCCCCCTCAGGGTGCCGCTCCCTCAGGTGTGTCCCAGGTAGACCCGGGTGAGCCTGTCGAGGTAGCTGTTGACTCTCGTCCTGCTAGGGGTGCTGAGCCTGGGGGTGCTGCGTCTGGGGGTGCTGAGCCTGGGGGTGCTGCGTCTGGGGGTGCTGAGCCTGGGAGTGCTGAGTCTGGGGGTGCGGAGCCTGGGGGTGCTGAGCCAGGAGGTGCGGAGCCTGGAGGTGCGGAGCCTGGAGGTGCTGAGTCTGGGGGTGCTGAGTCTGGGGGTGCTGAGCCTGAGCGTGCTACACCTGGAGGAGCCCTCTCCTCCCAGCAGCTGCAGGAGAGGTACCTCGAGTACTGCCGCCTCCGGAGAGGTACTGCTGGAGCTCGTCCCGGTACTTCCCCTCCTACCCAGGAGCTCCCCCCCATTCAGCAGATCCGCGAGTGGTACACACGGCGCTGCAGTCTTCGGAGTGGTGCTCCTGGTGCTGCGGACCCTGGGGGTGGCGCTGCTGCTGGTGCTGAGGACCCGGACGTGGGAGCTGCTGCTGGTGCTGCGGACCCGCCTGGTGGAGCTGCTGCTGGTGCTGAGGACTCGGACGTTGGAGCTGCTGCTGGTGCTGAGGACCCGGACGGTGGAGCTGCTGCTGGTGCTGAGGACTCGGACGGTGGAGCTGCTGCTGGAGCTGAGGACCCGAGCGGTGGCACTGCTGCTGCTGCTGAGGACCCGGGCGTTGGAGCTACTACTGGTGCTGAGGACCCGGCCAGTGGAGCTGCTGCTGGTGCTGTGGACCCGGACGCTGGAGCTCCTACTGGTACTGAGGACCCGGCCGCTGGAGTCTCCTCTGCTTCCGGAGACGCTGTGCGGCCGCGACCGTACTTCGTACCACTTCTTCAGCAGGTTCTTGGGCAGGCTCCTCCTCCTTGTCCTCCTCCCTCCGTAGAGTGTCCTCCGCCTGTCCGGCCGCAGTCACAGTTACCACCTACCTCGCCTCTCCCTGCTCCCTCTCCTTACACTGGTCCCACAGGAGGTCTTACAGAGCGTCGTGAGCCTGAGTCTCGTCCTGCGTCGCCTGTTCGTCCTGCTCGCACTGGTAGTCGTGTCCGTCGTGAGCGTCCTCCTCCTGTCCCAGGCACTCACTACATGACTCTGCGTCCCTCTACTACTCCTCAGCGTGTCCCTCTACCGTCTCCTCCTGCGTCCTCTTTGCCTGACGTTCCGGACCCTGAGTCTGACCGGTATCGTGCTGAGCACCCTACTGTCACGCGTCTCCTTGCTACTGTTGTCACTGACCCTACCTTTGAGTCCTCGGCTGCGTCTGCTCTGGTCGCTGAGTTGGTTGACTTTGCTGCTGCCTGTCGTCTAGACTACGCTGCTAGCCTTGTTGCTGAGTCTGAGTCTGTCTGTCCTCCGTCCGTCGGGGGTGAGTGTGCTCTTGGCACGGACGTCCTTGAGGACAGGCAGGAGGAGTTCCAGTATCTTGCTGCTGCTTTGCCCCGTCTCGTGTCCTTGCTAGTTGCCCCTGAGGGAGACCCGGATGCACCAGACATCCCGACCCCGCGCACTTACGCTGAGGCGATGGCGGGTCCCTACTCCTCTCAGTGGCAGACAGCCATGGACACCGAGATGGCCTCCTGGAAGTCCACACGCACCTACGTAGACGAGGTTCCCCCTCCTGGGGCAAACATCGTCAGTGGCATGTGGATTTTCAGGGTGAAGCGGCCGCCGGGTTCTCCGCCTGTCTTCAAGGCGCGTTACGTGGCTCGAGGCTTCAGTCAGTGAGAGGGAGTTGACTTCTTCCAGACCTTCTCCCCCACCCCGAAGATGACTACTCTTCGGGTGCTGCTGCACATAGCCGCTCACCGCGACTACGAGCTTCACTCACTTGACTTCAGCACTGCTTTCTTGCAGGGCAGCCTGCACGAGGAGATCTGGCTGCGCCGCCCACCTGGCTTCACTGGGTCGTTTCCTCCTGGTACCCAGTGGAGGCTTCAGCGGCCGGTCTACGGTCTCCGCCAGGCTCCGCGTGAGTGGCACGACACACTGAGGACTGCACTTGCGGCTCTTGGGTTCGCGCCTTCTACAGCTGACCCGTCGCTGTTCCTGCGCACCGACACTTCGCTGCCGCCGTTCTACATCCTCGTGTACGTCGACGACTTGGTCTTTGCCACTGCTGACACTGCAGGACTCGCCTACGTGAAGTCGGAGCTACAGAGGAGACACACGTGCACAGACCTGGGTGAGCTGACAAGCTATCTTGGCTTGCGGATCACCCGGGACAGAGCACGGCGCACCATCACCCTGACTCAGTCACACATGGTGCAGCAGGTTCTCCAGCGCTTCCGCTTCACGTACTCCTCGCCTCAGTCCACTCCTCTGCCTACCGGTCACTCGCTCTCAGCTCTGCCTTCGGATGAGTCCGTAGAGCCGAGTGGCCCGTATCCAGAGCTTGTGGGCTGCCTCATGTACCTGATGACCTGCACTCGACCTGACCTTGCATACCCTCTTAGCATCCTTGCACGCTATGTCGCTCCTGGCCGTCACAGGAAGGAGCACATGGATGCCGCTAAGAGGGTGTTGCGCTACTTGTGCAGTACGTCGAGCATGGGGCTTGTGCTTGGAGGGCGAGACCGAGTTGTTCTCACAGGGCACTCAGACGCTTCTTGGGCAGACGACCAGGCTACTCAGCGGTCGTCTCAGGGTTACACCTTCAGCCTTGGCTCTGGCTCAGTTTCTTGGCGCTCTACACGCTCTTCTTCTGTTCTCGGCTCCAGTTGCGAGGCTGAGATCTACGCTACAGCCATGGCTGCCCAGGAGCTACGCTGGCTGACCTACCTGCTGACCGACCTCGGAGAGCGGCCTCGTTCTCCTCCAGTACTGTACGTCGACAACAAGGCTGCCATTGCCTTGTGTGAGGAGCACAGACTGGAGCACAGAACGAAGCACATCGCCCTGCGGTACTTCCTTGCTCGTGAGCTGCAGCAGCACGGTCAGCTTTGTATTCGCTACGTGGCCACTGAGGCCAACACTGCTGATGTGTTCACCAAGGCGCTTCAGCCTCGTGACCATCAGCGCTTCTGCACTCTACTAGGCCTTGTGCCTACTGGACCTCACTTGCTTACCTCTTGACTTTGCTTGTACTGTGATCACTATATATATCTATACCTGCATGTTTCCTCTTGCTAGGTTGTGATCACTGTATCTCTTGCTCTGTTATAAACTTGCATGTGAACTGGTCTTGTGACCACTAGCTTGTGCTCGGAATTTGTGTGGAATCCTTGAGGTCCACCCTGAGCTTGTTGTTGCCTTGTTTTGCCTTGACTGGTCTTGTGACCCCTAGGACTCCCCCACTTTGCCTATGGGGGTGTGTCAAACATTATATATGTTGTATTTGTGTAGGCTGTAGTGGGTTAGCCTATAGGGGGGTCACAACATTAGGGTTTCATATTTGTACTCCCAATCCTTGCTAGTCCATCATTCCAGTCCGTTATTTCTGACAGTAGCACCCCCAGACGCAGCACCTCCAGCCCCAGCAGCTCTAGTACCTCCAGTACGAGCACCTCCGGGTCTAGCGGCTCCAGCACCTCCAGCAGACAAAGTACCCGCAGTACTCCCAGCTCCAGTGTTCTTCAGTAGCTCCAACAGCACCTCCTGCGGCAGGGTCAGCAGTACCACCAACTCAAGCGACGGCGGCACCCCTCGGACCAGCCCCACTACCCTATGAACCAGCACCCCCAGCTCCAGGGACGTCAGCAGAAGTACCTCCAGCGGCAGAGCCCCGAGCTCCAGCAGCGCGAACAGGAAAGTCCATCTAAAACCGCTCGCGGAGCTGGAGACAAACAGCGCGGATCCAGGGGATCAGAACATCAGGGACCTGACCCTTGCTGCGCAAGGGGAAGACCGTGGTGTAACGCGTGTAGTCGTTGACGACCAGCAGGAAGTACCGCTCGCGGCCCTGTCCCTGGACGCGGGCTGGGCCCCACACGTCCAGGTGGAGAGTCTGCAGTGGAGCCTCTGTGGGAGGGAACGAGGAGGAGTGAGGAGCGGCGCGCTGCCGCCCCTCGACGCAAGGAATGCAGGGCGGCGCAGGCGAGGGTGGGAGAGCGGGCAGAGACCTGGGAAGACCAGAAACCAGGAAGCGAGAGTGCATGCCACGAAGGCGGGGTAGAGAGGGGTGACCAAGGCGGTGGTGCCAAAGGAGAGTCTGGTGCGACAGACGGCGACACTCACACTGGGTAGCTACCTGAGCAGACGCATACAGCTGAGGAGACATAGGAGCGGAGCGCGACACAGTGGTGAGGGTGTACAGACTGGACCCTGGCGCACGTGTGAACGTGGCCAGGTGGCGGCCAGTCCTAGAGCACGTACAGATCGCCACACGCTGTCAACCAGGAGTAAAGGTGTCAACCCAATGATCCTGAAGGACGGCGTTGCTCACCAGGTTCGTAGAGAACGAGGGGATGTGGAGACCTGACAGCTCACCGGACGGGACCGCCGGACACGGGAGCACAGTACTGGACCGTGCAAGCACTGGGCCCCCAGAGGGGTCAGCCAGTGAGACAGGGACAGGTGCAGGGAGGGGAGTGACTGTGGTGCTGTCGCGAAAGAAACAGCGGGAAGCACCTGAGTCAAGTGTGAAGGTGTGCAAGGCCTCAGCAGGCGCAATACCAGAGAGAGCAGACTCACTAGCACCTAGGGCTGCAGTCTCTATACCTGGGTCAGGCGGGACACACAAGTAGCAGTCACCCTCAGCACTAACAGTCAATGCATACATGGCAGCAAGGATTGCATCATAGTCAAGATCAAAGATAGGAACATCACGCCTAAGCAGGTCTGCCCAGTTGGGGAACTCAGTAGCCTCAGGGAACCTGGTTCGTCAGGCGTCGCTAAGCCTAGCGAAGCAGCGGTACTCAGTGTGAAACAGACTGTTGCATGGGCGACCAGCGCAGGGACCGGCACGAATGACATAGGGGCAGCGACCAGCAACCCCAGACGCCCCACGCTGAGCGTACCAGTCATGAAGCTGCTGAGACGTGGGCGTCTGGTGTTGACGCTGCTGCTGCTGCTTCTTCTGTGGCTGCTGCTGCTGCCCCTGGTCACCACTGGAGCCTCCTTTCGGGCCGGCCGCACTCCAGCCCCCACCTCCGCCACCACCACCGCTGCCTCCGCCCCCACCACCGCCGCTGCCTCCTCCACCGCTGCCGGTCCCACCGCCACCCCACCCACCTCCTCCACCCCCACGACCACCCCCACCACCTCCACCACCCCCGCCGCCTCCACCACCGCCCCCTCCACCGCCACCTCCACCACCCTTGCAACCCTTCGCCGCCCTTGGTGCCGCTGCGCTTCCCACTAGGAGCGGAAGCAGCTGCGACCTTCTCAGCACCGAGGAGGTCGACGGCAGCAGCAGCAGAGGCGTAGGAGGGGGCAAGGGGGGAGGGGGAGCACCCCTCAAAGAGGGGAGTGCGAGGAGTGCCACGAGCAGCACCTACAGCGAGGATGTTCTTTTCTGCTGCTAGGAGCTGCTGCTCGAAGTCGGCTAGAGTGAGAGTGGTAGGGTCTTTGGCGAGGAAGTGGTCCCTGACTGAACTGAGAGTGTCAGGGAGGCGGGTGACGAGGATGTAGAGGGTAAAGTACAACGGGGGGGGGTTCTGGGCGAGGAAGTCGTCTGGAAGGGCGGCACGAAAGCGAGCGTCACTAGTGCGGAGGTGAGAGATAAGGTCCTCAGCGGTGGCAAACGAGGAGAGGTCAGGGAATAGGTAGGGCAGGATGAGACGACCTACGGCTGCAGTGGCTGGGGACGAATAGCGCGCAACTACAGCGTCATACAGTGCCTTAGCAGTCTTGTGCTGGCTAAAATGCGCGCGCTCAGTGATCGGCAAATGGTTGCGAATAGCGAGGCGCGCAGCAGCATCGCGAGTCTGCCACTGTGAGCGGTCAAGAGCGGGAGCAGCGGCAGTGCCAGACGCGTGATCGAACAGTGAAACGCCGTCTTTTGCATCAGTCATAAGAAACAGTTGCAGGTCGTCGAGCCAAGTGGCAAACTCAATCGGGCGACCGTCAGGCTCAAACGCGAGAACATTAAGCGTCGCCATAATCGTAGTGCAGGCTAAGGCAGCAGGCAAAGGCAGCAGGCAAAGGCAGCAGGCACAGGCAGCAGGCAAAGGCAGCAGGCACAGGCAGCAGGCAAGGGCGGCGCGCAAAGCAGCTCAGACAGCGCGCGGGTGGGCCAGGCGGCCGCGGCAGTAGGGCTGGCGGCGCGCGGGGCTGCGGGGCAGCGTGACGCGCGGGGCGTGGGGCCGCACGACGGGCAGCGCGCGGAGCTGCGGGGCAGCGCGGGAGGCGGCGCAAGGGGCCGCGGGGCAGCGCGACGGGCAGCGGCAGGGCGCGTGGGGCTGCAGGGCAGCGTGACGGGCTGCGCGCGGGTCTGCGGGGCAGCGCGACGGGCTGTCAATGCGTGCGCGGGGCTGTGGGGCAGCGCAGCAGGCGGTGCGCGGGGCTGCAGGGCAGCGCGACGGGCAGCGGCAGGGCGCGCGCGGGGCTGCAGGGCAGCGCGACGGGCGGCGCGCGGGGCTGCGGGGCAGCGCGACAGGCAAAAAGGCAGGGCGCAGGGTAGCACGGTAACCGCGCACGGTTGGTGGTGGGCCCTAAAAAAAATCGATCCTGAGGTCCTAGGGACCTTCTGCTTTGTATACCATGTTAGAAAGTACTAGCAGGAATGAGTCGACTAGGTCAAAGTTGGGTACAAATATGAAACCCTAAAGGGGCTATACCCCATATTGGCTACCCCACTACAGCCTACACATATATATCACATATATAATTTGACATTAGTCTGCTAACGAGAGCCCTGTAACACGCTACGGGCAGGGAACTGTACAGTGGGCCCTAAAAAAAAAACGATCCTGGAACATGACCTGCTCTGAAACCAGGGCCTCAGATTCACTTTTAGGGACGTTTAAGCATCAGGGTTCCTTTGTGAAAAAGGCTGAAAATCAGTGTTCCATTTGAAAAAAAAAAAATCTGAATTTTCAGGGTGTCCTAAAAGAAAAGCCTGATTTCACCCTCATGATATCTTACATATAAATGCCGACCTTACGAAGCATTTCAGCCGCGAGACTCGAACCGGAGACCATGTCAGAATCTAGCAGCAGGAATGAGTGAACTAACAATGAGTTTGGTCAAGTACTAACCTTAACTGGGTTGTACCCCATATTGGCTACCCCACTACAGCCTACACAGCACAATGTTCTGACAAAAACAAGTAGTAAGAAAGATTGTTATAAGGTATAGCAAAGAAGAAAGGCAGGTGCACCACCAAAGAAGTTATGGTAACTGAGAAGATAACTGTGCACATATAACACAAATGGCTAGACTCTCCTTATTGCCAACCCGACGTCTCCATCCAAGGATTCTAGGCATTAGGTGGGATAGGGACTGTAGATATGCCATGGACCTGGATATTCCTAGTGATGCTCATATTCGCCATGTTCAACGGGCCAAACGTAGATCCACCTGCAGCTTTGAAATAGCATTCTCTTGTTGAGTAACTGTTCATCTTGACCAGCTTCAGGCCCATATTCATGGTGGGGAACTGCCACAAGGGCACAGTTGATAGCAGCCGATCCTTGCTGAACTTCCCCTTTATAATCAGATTCTTCATTATGCGAAGCCTCTGCTGGGGAGTGAAAGCCTCCCACTTCTTTTTCATGAACTGATTGCCAATATCGGATGGAACAAGGATCGTGGAGGGACCGTCCAGGGAAATAAGTTTGACCCTAGCTGCAACAAGATGGAAAACGAGAGGAGAATAAAACACTGGCTTAGCTGGTTCAATGTAGAAAATGCTGGGATAATTAAACACTGGCTCAGCTGGTTTAATTTGGAAAATGCTGGAAAGTTATGTCCGTCCTGCAGCTGCCATGTCCCCAGCAAAAAATCCTCACTAGAAAAGCGTACCCGCAGTGTATAATCGTTGCGCGAAGACTAAGAAAAAAGGGTACTTCTTATCGAGGTCCTTAAACGCCGTCAAGAGCTCCCTATGCAGCAGTTCGGCCCGCGATGGGGGCTTCCTCGCCGGTGCTCTCTTGGCCGCGACGGTATGCGGAACCACAAGCAGCAGCAGAACGATAGCTACGGCTATGCCGAGGTTCACTGCACGGATTGTCAGAAAGAGCCTCATTGCGACCGCGAGCAATGAACGTTGAAGGGATCAAAGAATTAAAAATTCACCACTGAAGGGATGAGGGAGACCCAAGGATGCGAAGCTCGGCGAGTCTGAGGAATCTCTGACATGCTAGCAATACACATGAGATTCACAGATTTAAGCGTTCGCTAGGGTTTGCCGCCGGAGAACGAAGAAGCGCTTTGGCTGCTGCAGTTTCCCGTTAGAGGGAGGTGAGAAAGGGGAGAGCTGGTGTTGGACGGTGGGGTTACATCTGCTGTTGGCGCGACCAGGCTTGACATCGGCTCGAAGCGGCTGTTTCTGGCTCCGCGGATTACAGTTTATCCATCCAACGTGCCGCTATCATCTTGAAGAACTTATGAGAAAATATGGGAAATCGACCCTGGTCGGAGGGCGTTTGCAGGATTGACGCAAGAATGGGGTAACGTAACAGTGAGACATGGCTGCTACAGATCGTACGCTGGCTGTGCGGAATGAGTCGGTGCAGGCTCGCGAGGCTAAGATGGAGTATGGCCTATGCTTGGGCCTCCAGGGAAGTTTCCCAGAAACCTGAAGAACATCTGGCACGGTTTCTTCTGCCAACATTGCGAGCGACCTCATCGGTCGAGCTGCGAGCCAGGATTGTCCAGCCAATGGGACGAACTAGTTTCACGGCGCCAGTAGACAACGACTCCGTGAGCAAATGTCGACATTGTCATATTCGGCGCGGCGCGCGTAGCGCGTTCGGATCCGACACGCGGAATTGGGCGTCGAATCGACGATAGGACTTCTTCGACCTCAGCAGCACCACGCAGAGAGCGCTGCGAGCTGAGCAGTTCGAGCAACCCTTCGGATGACCTAGAGAATATCCTAGCTAGTGTGCCATGCCTGGCGTGGCGATTGCCTAGCGGGTCAGTGAGATGCGATCTCGTCAATCACCAACCCACAGCACTGCAAACCACACCAAACCACACCTCACAACCCTCACGAATTCCGTTGAATTCCGTTACTCTGCTGCTCTGCACAGTTCGCATGCTGTGCGCTTGATAACGGCGTGATTCGCCAGAGGTGTTCGAAGTTGCAATAACCAATAACTTGTAACAGAGGCTGTTCAAGTAATCCTATACTTCAACAAAACTTAGACCTTACATCAGCCAGGCAGAAAAGGCAGAAATACAATTTATGTCGAGATCCTTAAGTGTTTAATTTAATTTAACTCTGAAGCGAAATAAATTACCAGTAGTCGCTGTCTACTACCAGTTATTTTTCATGCAGCATTGCGGCTCCGCGATAGACCAACTATCGCGTATGGCATGTCGAGTTCCACAAGGAAATCACAAGCCCGTGGCCCGCTGCTTGTCATGTTGGCGTCAAGCCAGTCACTCCAGGAATTCATCCGATGTACAACATCAATTCATCCAGTGGTAGTCTCCTCCAATGCTTTTGGTTTTAGGACGTTTTGATGGCTCTTTTCTTGGTTCGACCGAGTGTGCAGGAACGCCAGCGTGAGTCTGCAGCTCGTTCATTGTCATCCGATTCATGCAATTCGATTCTGAGCTTGCTCGGGTTCATGGCGCATCTTGGCTACTCACCCTTCGTGGTCCAAGATTCCGCTCACTACTTAACCGCACCACTCGCTCTGATCCTACGCAAGCTCTTCCTATTCACAAAAAGTGGAAATTATCTGCGTCCTCCAATTTTCTTCATACCGATATGGCCATCGCGCGTGCCCTCCTCATTTCCATCGTCTGCCTCTTTGGAGCCGCCGTTGCTACTGCTGCAAGTCCATTGATTTCATCGCGAACCGTCGGGCCTCGTCGGAACCTAACTGAACTTCACGCGTCTCGTCGGGCCGTTGAGCACGTACGCCTTCCCAACCCCGCCGTAGTCCTCGGCGCAGCGGCAGGAGCCGCGCTCAAAGCAGTCCAATCAACAGCTGCCACGATAGCAAGCTCCGTTGCTCAACTTCCTGCCGGACACTTATTCGGCGACGCTTCCAAGGTTTGCGAGGATTTCGGCGTGCTGCCCGCGTGCGATTTCTTTTTTGACCTGCTGGGTCCTTTCGGTCTGCCCTCTGTTCGCCTCCCTTTCGACTCTCAAGTGGTGCTGTTGCACTCCCAACGCAATGGTGACCGTCCCGTGAGCTTGGACATCGCCACCAGCGTTTCGCCCAGCGTTGACGAGATTGGCGACGACAAGACGAAGTCTTACGGTTACCAGGTGGAGGTGGATGCGACTGGGAAGGCGGAGTACTGCAAGTGCAAGGCAGCAGAGCTGGTAACGAGCGTGGCACATGCCGGTGATCAATTTTATGCAACTGGAGAGGTGAGCTGGGAAACCTACACTCTTGGCAAAGCAACTTTTGTCACGGAAGGCTTTGAACAATGCTTTTTACCTTTTTTCGTTCAACCCAGAAATCCTCCCTTCCCCCATTCCACCGCTTTTCCCGTCGCCCATTCCATTCCTCTGCCCCCTCCTCTACAGCCAGCGAGGGTGTATGCCCGGACTTTCCAGAAGAATCTTCCAGCAGAAGCCTTTCAGGGTTGTTGCGTGCGCCTTCCACTGGCCAGTGTGCAGCTGAAGGCTCCTGGCGGTGATGTCATTAACTTGAACAAGGGGGACGGAAATGAACGTTTTCCTGATGAGCGTCGTTGTCTTCTCTTTCATGTGCTTGTATTGTAGAAGTCTCAGGTGTGGGCCATAAGTACCTCGGTTAGGCTGTGCTTAGTAACTTTTTGTCTGGTCAACATTCAGTTGAAATTCAGAATTATATTCTTCATGCACAGTGCGGGAAGACTCACAGGACGGTTTCCAAGAAATAGGTTATTGTGGGTTCACTTGTGAAACTCAAATGGGAGTTTGAGATGGAACCGTTGTGGCTGGTTCCACGTTTCAATGTGTGCAATCAATGTTACTGTAAACCAATATGTAAGAAAGGAGACCACCATAAGCAGAACACGTTGTTGTGTGGTGCACCACGGCCTCGACAGAATAAAATCTGTCGAAACTGCCAGTATATGCCACGTCCTTGCCAATCGAAGAACGCGGTGTGAGGCTTTTCCAATTTTCAAGGGATAACTGCCACATCATCAGCCTACCCTCCTTCGTGGGAGCGTCCTCCATTGCCGCAGTGTCCATCTCACAAAGTGCCAGAACAACGTCACTGTTGCGAGCAAATGCTTTTTATGACACACCATATCTTTGTGCGCGAATTGTCCACACTGTTGGTGGGTACACTTTTGCGCCACCCGTTGGCTCCCGATCTGGCGTGGGGCCAGACAACCATCCAATTAATGGCTTAAAAGTTTCCAAGTAGCTCAGTAAAATCCGGGAAGGCTTGGCCCACATGGCAGTTCCGAATCTCCTGCTGACAGCAATACACGTTGCGGTCGCTCTCGGCACAAATGCAACCGGTCTGCACTCCAGACCAGACGCGCTTCCCAGGCGAAAACCCGCGCAAAATCCCCACAAGCTTGCTCACCTCATGCTTCTACCGAACCTACACATTGATCTAGATTGTGGCACGAGGTAGGGGATCACGAAAAAATGGGTTTGGGGGGGAATGGGAGAAAGATTTTCCAGTCGAGGTGCCCGAGGGAATGAAATATACAGTAGTGCAGCAGCTTGGGCAGCAGTGCACCGTACCCGTACTGAATCTTGTCCTGCCGAACCTCAAAAGACATGGGACATACCCATAAAAATCGTAAGGGCGTGGGCCCAAACGGGTTTGATCGCCTCGATCAGCAACGATCAATAATTTCCAGGAAGCCTGGAAGCCAAATTCAGGCAATCAGGGGCAATCAGCTGATCGCGATCAGCTGATCGCCCAACCTCAATCAGACCCGATTTTAATCCCGATCAGGGGCAATCAATTGATTGCTTGTGATCGGGGCACCTTGCGATGCTTGCGAGTAGTGTTGCATTTACAGTGAAACGAATATTTTCGCCAGGTGAAGCCTGGTCGTCAATCTCGCTAAAATGGTGACGAAAATGCCACGCAAATGTAGCGCGCTTGCTGAGCAGGCGCTGACAGCCTTCTCCGAAAATCATTTCTGATCGGGCGGCTCGGGCACTACGATCACAAGCAACCCGATCACAAGCAGCCCGATCAGATCAGTCGCGATGAGACCCGTTTGGGCCCACGCCCTAAACTCTCTCTCTTTCCATTCGCTTTGTTGGAAGCGCAAATCGACACCATGTCACCTGCCGAGCCAACGATGTCCAACCAAACCATCGAGTCCATTTCTCTCACCCACCTCTTCCCCTTGCACCACACACCCGCCAAACCCCAAACCTCCGCCAGTGGCCTCATCTTGATCAGCCTCAAAATGCCCTCATTCTGGCGGCTGCCCTGATGAGTTTTTGAAACACTGACCCCGCAAGCCCCCCCGCTCCCCTCGCTGCCCCCACCCGTCATCACCCGTCCTTCGGTCGTGGCATGTGCTTTCCCGCGCGCCTAGTACTTTCCATCATCGGTCCGACCCCTCTCTCCTTTCCACTTCTGCGCTCACCTCCTTTCCCCCACCCCACTTTCCTTCTGGTGGCAAGTGGAGCTGAGGCCTCCCCGCTTTCCCCGCCACCCATTCCCCGCCTCCCTTTCGTCCGTCCCTCCCATCCCAGCTCACACAATCTTGGTCGCTGAATTTTGGGAGCTCGAACAAACCAAACCCCACCCCAGCCGGACGCCTGCCTCTGGTATTTAGAGTACCGCACATGCTCACCCCCGCATGACTTGCATTTCCAAGTCCACGCAATTCGGTGATCCCTAGATCACCTACACAGCGCTTGTACTTCCTGTTCCACGTAGCTGTCATACTTCGAGCTAGTTTACCCAAGAATGGATTTTCTCGTTTGTGATGCTAAGTCTAGGGAGGCGTGTATGCCGAAGGGAAGGCACTCCTGGTCCGATCCTCTTTATTCTGGAAGTTCCAGGAGCTCGACGCACTCCTCGCCTCCAAGCTGTATAGATTCTTTCGTTCCGTTGAGTTACGCTCAGACTCACGACCCGATGGTCGGTAGTGTGCCGTTTCACGACCGACATGTGTTCCTGTGTCACAAGGGCCCTGCCAACTGGCCTGAGAACCCGTTTTCGTTTGACTGGGATTGCATGCCGAGGAGACTTCGTGCTGATATTAAAGCTCGCGAGGAGGAGATGCAGAGAAAGGTGAGCTACTCTGTTTGTTGTCCTGCATGTTTGCTCGTGTCGTTCCTGTGTGTTATACCTCTTTTACTATTTTCTACTAGCTTGTATATTAATGTTATTCAGGTTAGTGTTGATTGTCTTACAATGCTTTCCTAGTTATCTCTTGTTCTATATGTATTCAGGGTATTGTTGATTGTCTTACGTGCTATCAGGCTTCCGTTGCAGTTATGGCGTGGCTTATATTGGATGTTGTTAACTTACCGTTCTTCTACCGTAATGTACCCCCTTGTCTTCGGATTGTTTCAGACGATGTTTACGGTCTGTGAAGGGAGGGACGTCCCTGGTTCCTACAATGGGGATATTTTGGTCTTCCCTGAAATGCTGATTTACAGGTCAGTAAAGATTCCTTTACATTATTCGTTTATTTCTAGAGAATCTGTGTTCTTGATGGCTTGCTAGAAGAGTGACATTTGTCTGCATTCTTCCTAGAAGGCTACCTCATATTTTTGCCTCCCTTGCGTTTATCTTTGTTTGTCTCGTTGCCTGTCGTTCTTTCACACCCACAGGTCGCTGACTCGTTTCGATGTTGAGTGCTTCGTGGATGAGGCTCTCGTGCAGGAGCAGCCTCGCTTGCTCTGGCCGGAACCTCTTACCGGTTGTCATATCTTCGTGTGCTGCCATGTTACCCGAGACTCACTCTGCGGTGCGATCGGCCCCCAAGTCGTCGCGAGATTCCGCGAGGAGATTGAACGGAGAGGATTGATCGACGTTCACGTCTGGCCGTGCTGTCATCTGTCGCGGAATGTTTCCATGGATGCATGTGTTGGGAACGTGTCTGTATTCAAACGAAGCAAACCGTCGTGCAATAACTGTGGAAGGAGGAGGTCCGAGGGTCGATTCCTGTCTGGCGCGAAAAGACAGCAGCTTCCTCCAGAAGCTCTCGCTGCATTGGTAGCTGCTGCTTCCGCTGGGCAAACTGGAGAGGTTCGGGGCGACTGGTACGGACAAGTCATGCCTGATGACGTGGCAGACGTCATGGAGCTCCACGTCATGGGTGATTCCGTGGTGGAGCGCCTTTGGCGGGGGAGGATGGGGCTCTGGCCTCAGCAGCAGGTGGAGGAGCAGGCTGATCGTCTCGGTTCAATGCGGTGTGTTTCCGCCGACCTTGAAGCCTCTTCCGAACGTATGCCCGGCTCGGCTTCCGGTTCGGCTCTTTCTGACGCTGGTTCGGAATTCTGCTCCTGCGCACCCACAGCCGTCACGCGGTCTCTCTCGGCTCAGTACATCTCTCCTCAGACTTCTCGCTCCAGCAGCGAGGCGTCGAAAGCATCAAATAACAGCCCTTGCGAGTTCGCCAAGTGCGGCGCTGGTGGCGTGGCTCATAGCCCGTCTTCCACGCTGGACCCCGTTAATCGGCTCGGCTCGGCGAGCTTCCACAGCTGCTCGTCAGCCTCCTATTCGTCGACATCAATCGCGTCCGCCGAACCTGCCGTTTGCGACGTTCGCGGCGAGGTCAGCGGCGGCGCGTCTCTTAGAACGGACTCATCTCTTTCCTGCGTCTCCGCGTCTCCCGGCTCTTCGACGCGGTGGGATAGTTACCTCTGCGGCTCGCCTTCACAGCGATTCGGTTCTGCTTCTGAGAGTTCCGCTTCTCGCCCAGTGAAGCAGGGGCAACTGGCGAAACAGCCCAGCTGTAACCGGGTAACCAGTTTCCAGCAGAACTTCGCGAAGCAAGAGGCTGAAACCGCTTCAGCTCGGTGGCTCAGTTGGCAGGGGGAGTCGGGTCTCATAACGGGCCGTGGTGCCATCGCTGCTGCGGCTGTCGCTGCAGTTGCAGTAGCTGGTGTGTCTACAGTGGTGTACCTATGCAGGAAGAAAGATTGAGATGTTCAGAAGTTCCCAGGTGCTCCTCGTCTGATGCTTGGTTGTATCTGCCCGTGCTTCTAGGGCAGATGCGGCGTACATGGCACCATTGGTGGTGGTGGTGGTTATGGTGGTGATTGGTTAGTGAGCTGGATGCGGCCAGCCAAATTGGCTGGCATAACTAACCAGGGCCCAGCTTCTGTCTTTTGGGCTTGGAGAACTGTTGTGGTGGGAGTCAGAATCTTCTGAGGGAAGGCTTCTGAAGACTTTCTTATCTGATGTCATTCTCTTGTACATATGTCTGATTAAGTGGTTAGGTTTTCATGTTGTGCCTGTCTCCTGAGGAAATAAATAATCAGCAATTCAGATGATAGGGTACCGTATCTGTATGCTGCCATCTCTTCGCCATAACTGCATAATATTAAGCTGAATAACTTACCGTAACAAAACAGGTATGGCAAATCTCCAATACTGTCTCACAGTGACAATCTTAAGTCCAGCCTAGCACCAGATTCAGTATCAGCTCCTCCATCCTCTGTACTCTTTGGCTGCACTACAGCAGCACCCTGGCTTCTCTCTGCCTGATCACTACACTCTACACCCTTTTGGTGCTGTTGCTGCTGCATATCCACTGGTAATCCTCGATCCGCTTGCTGTTGCTGGAGAATCTTATGGCGAAGCTGCTCTTGCTCCCTACGTGCATCGCTGTGGTGTTCGCCCAAGTGCACAAACTCGTGCATCTCTCGTGGAGACAGCTTAAATGGGGGATATGCAGCTCCTGCGATGGGCTGGTTCCTCTCTGGTGTTGCCAGGCGGACAGTGTCTTGGTGCTCGTGATGCTGCACTTGCTGCTTCAGATGCTGCTGCTGTGCTGGATGCTGGTGTGTTGAACGCTGATGCTCTATACGCTGTTGCTGCTGCAGCTGCTGCATTAAATACTGCTGATTTTGCTGCTCTAACTGCTGTTGCACCTGGAACCCTTGAATCTGCTGCCACTGCCCTTCCGCCCGCCCCACCATACCACCTACCGAACTGACAGCACTCCAATCAACATCTCCCTGACCCTGTAACCGTCCCTGCGATGACAGTATAGCGGCAATGGAGCTCTCAGCAGCACGGGCTGGCTGGCTGGGAGTGGCATCTGAAGTTAAAGCCGAAGAGGATGACCCAGCAGATGGACGCATCCACTGCAAACCCCCTCCTTCCGACGAGTCCTCTCCCAGGCGCTGCTGAAATTCCCGTGAGTGGTAAAACGATTCCTTTGGAGGTGCGTGAAGAGCGGAGGCAGAGGAAGTGGTGGATGGGCGCATCCAATCGCCAGGCGTTGCTGTGGGCCCTGCTCCTCCAGGTGAGATGTCTGCCACGCGTTGCTCTGGCTGATGCGCTCGAGAGGATCCTGCTGCTGCCGCCGCCCGGTTGGCCTCTCTTCTCCCCCCACTGGATTCCGCAGCCCATTTTGAGAGCACTGCGTAGTGTGCCAATGACTTGGACACGGCCGCCTGGGCGGCGGGGAACCATTGAGATCCTGCAGCGCAGGCGCCTGTCATTTGCTGGGAGCTTGATGCTGATGCTGCTGCTGATGCTGATGCTGATGCTGATACTGATGCTGATGCTGATGCTGCTGGGACTGGGGCAGGTGCTGGTAGAGGCAATCCTGAGTGCTCAGGAGGATCCAAAAACGTTTCCGAGGGCCCCTTTGAAGGCGAGAATTCTGACGCCTTGTGGGGCGTGCCGTGAGTCGCGCTGTGAATCACGCTGTGAGTCACGCTCTGGATTGCGCTGCGAGTCGCGATTTGAATCGCGCTGTACGTTGCGATTTGTATCGCGTTGTCGGTTGCGATTTGAATCGCGCTGCGAGTCGCAGTCTGAGTTGCGCCATGAGTCGCATTGTAAGTTGCAGTGTGTGCAATCCTGGGTGACACGAAACCGTGGTCCATGGAAAGCCTTCTCCTCCTCGCATCCCCTGAGGCAACTCCTCCATCTCCCGCTGCTTCCTCCTCACAAGCTTCGCGTTTCGGCCTCAGCTGCGGTGATGCTGCTTCCTTATAACGAGGATGCTGCTCTGGCAGCGGCACAGGCAGGGCCCCTCCAGGCAAGGGAGTTGCACCTCCCTGCTCTGGAGCCGGAGCAGAGTGCTGCCTGGGGTGTTTGAAGTGCTGCCCCCGCTGCACTAAACGCTGCTGCTGCTGCTGCCCCGGTTGCGCTGGTTGCGCTGGTTGCGCTGGTTGCGCTGGTTGCGCTGGTTGCGCTGGTTGCGCTGGTTGCGCTGGTTGCGCTGGTTGCCCTGAGTGCCGTGGGTTTTCTCGGTGCTCTGGTACTGTGGCATGTGTTCCGGAGGTTTCTGGCAGCCTCCTTTCTGCTCCTGCTCCCCCTTCCGCTCCTCCTCCTCGTCCTTCCCCTCCTGCTCCTGCTCCTCCTCCTCTCCTAGCTTCTGCCAGCAGAAACTCCTGACGGTGCCGCCCTTTCTCCTGCAGCCCCTGTTGCTCCTGCAGCCCCTGTTGCTCCTGTTGTCGTGACCGCATCTGCTCCTGGTCTTGATGGTGGTGGCAGTGCTGCTGCTGCTGCTGCCCAATCTGCTCGATTTGTTCCATCTGTTGCTGCTGCTGCTGCTGCCGTTGATGCTCCTGGCGTTGTTGCAGCCGCTCAGAGTCACCTGCAGGGGGAGACGGAGCAGTTAGCCCACCAAAAATACTCTCCAGCACACTCCTGGTCGGCAAGTCTTGTCCACATCCCAACCGCTCCTCCCACTGCTGAGCACTCACATCACCCTCTCGTCGCTCTCCCATTGAACGAACAGGATCGCTTCGCACGCCTCGTCCCCTCCATCCTACGGTTGGATGGGCAGCATCCAACGGCTCAGGCTTCACCTCGCCTATTGTAACGGTAACCGGCTGTTGAATCACAGTGAAGGGGAGAGACGCAGTGCTCATGGCTCCTCGTCGTGTTTGTGATTGTAACACGTGTGATTGTGCTGGCCATGGCACAGCAGCAGGGCCTGCAGTACCAGCGTCGCACTGAACAGTTACATTGGTTGCGCTCCTTCCCTTGCTAGCACTGCCACCACCACTGCCAACACCAGCAGCAGCAGCACCACCACCAGCAGAGGCACTGGCAGCAGCACCAGCAGCGGCACCAGCAGCAGCACCAGCAGCACCAGCAACAACACCACCACCACCACCACCAGCAACACCACCAGCACCACCAGCAGCACCCTCCCCCTCCCCTCCCTCCATTCCCTCCCTGCACTCAAACGCTTCTCGCTCCCTCCTAGCAACCTCTCGCTTCTGTGGCGTGCCTTTCTCCTGCCGCGCGCCTTGCTTTCGCGGGGTGGTGGTGTCATGCCTGGGCGGAGAGTCATGCTTCCCAGGTGCATCTTTCATTTGAATCTGCTGGCCTGCTGCGTCTTGTAGCCTTCTCACATCGTGCTGCCTTCCCCCGTCTTGCTGCTTTCTTGCCCCTCCTCCACCTCTTCCTCCTCCCTCGGTTTCCTTCTGTGCTATGGACGCAGACTCATCCTGCCTCGCTGCTACAGCAGCATCAGCATCAGCAGCAGCAACGCTTCTGCTGCCCTGCCGCTTCCCAGGTGACTTCTGAGGCGACTCAACGGCCATTATGGCTCTGCTCTCTCCTTGCTTCGCTCCTACAGCAGCAACGCTTTCGCCCTGCGGCTTCCTCGCTCTGCTCCTCCTTTCCCCACCCCCCTTCCCACCAGCAGTACCAGCAGCACCAGCACCAGCACCAGCAGCAGCAGCCGCTGCTTTTGCTGCCTTTTCCTTCTGTCGCTGCAGCCGTAATTCTCTGTGCCCGTTTTGGTGCCCGCCCAATGCATGCAGGGTCGGGAACCGCATGTGGCAAACCTTGCACTCGTGCGGCCCCGAACCTCGGATCCAGGGTCGGTTCTCTGCCGTACCTGCGAGTGGCCAGGCAGTGGAGTCTAGCAGCGGGGACAAGGATGGCCCTCCAAGGCTGAACAACCGCTGCTGGGCGAGGCCGGGGGGTGACCGGACCTCTGTCGAGCCAAGCGAGTCCGAGCCTGCTCCAGAAAGAGGTACTGGATCGACACTGGGAACATCAGCGGCATCAGAAGCAGCAGCAGCGGCAGCAGCAGCAGCGGCAGCAGCAGCAGCTGCTGCGGCACCCGCTGCAGCGAATTGAACAGCAGGGGACGTTGGTTCTAGTGTTGTTACTGATGCGCGCCCTTCAAAAGAATCACCACCGCCTCCAAATCCCGCAAACCCCTCTTGAATCCCCTTTACCTCCTGAAACTCCTGAAGCCTCTGAAGGCTCCCAAAAGCCCCTAGCCCCATAGCAGCTGCTGATGCAGCCGACTCTACCTTTGCCACTCCTCTCCAACGCGGTGTTCCGGAATCTCCTATCTGCTCCCGTCCTGAAGCCCTGGATTTCTCCGCGAATCCTTCCCGTGCGGGTCTAGAAGCAGGAGTAAACCGAGTCGGGCTTGCCATGATGCTAGCTGTCTGTGTATCTCTTGTTGTCGCCGCTGCTGCTGTAGAAATATTATCGTGTCGCACCTGTCGTTCGCTCCCATCCGTTGATCTGCCACTGCGGCTTCGCTCCATGCGCGCCTCCGCGCTCTCTCCGCCCGCGCTCGTGCTCACGTTCGCGCTCGCGCTTGCGCCATGCGGGCGGAAACCTCCGCCCGCCGCAGCCCACCCTAAACTAGCGTCACCCACGCTTCCGCCGCCGCCTGTGCAAAATCCGCCCGCGTTCACTGCGCCCCCCTGTGCTGCGCGGGGCTCACGCGGATACGAGAAAAACTCCGCTGAGGCGCCGTCCCCCTTCTCGCCGGGGGGCATTGCGCGCTCGGCGGGTGACCGGCGGAAGCTCCCCGCGCGCCAGGAAAACGCGTCGCTCATATGCTCCCCCTGCGGAAACGAAACCATCTCGTCTCTGCCCCTTCCGCCTTCCGCAGCACTTTCCCTTCCGCTTACGGCTCCGCTCTCCCCTCCCAGCCAGTTTCCGCCGCTTTTCCGGACCACATAAGCGGAAATAGACGTGCGACCAGCGACATTATGTTGGTTATTGCCCGAAATCGGGTTATCACTGCCACTGCGCAGACCACCCAAAGGGTCAGGGATTCGAGTGATTCGCGTAAGCCAATCACTCAGCTCAAGCGACGGTTCGCTGGAGTCGTCCGGCGGTCGGCCGCTGGGCGGCGGTCGCAGCGTTGCGACTCCCTGCGAAGTCGCGTCGTCGCCGACGCGACCGCCGCCGTCTCCGGCGGAAGTTGCGGCGATGACGGACGACATCTGCAGCTGTTCCGCCGAGGAGAGCAGCTCTTCCGCCGACATTTGCCGCTGCTGTTGCGCTGACGAGATCTGTCGCACCGACGAGAGCTCTTGCGCGGACGAGAACTGTTCCGCCGACGAGCGCTGTTGCGCCGACGAGATCTGTTGCGCCAACGAGCGCTGTTGCGCCAATGCGCTCCACAGAGCTGACGACGCGGCAAGAGCCGAAAACGGCACGGGCTCGACGCCTGCCGTGATACCCGGCGACGAAAATGGCGCCGCGGGAGCCATTTCCGTCCGAAAACCGGCCGCGGCTGCGGCTTGGGCGGTTGTAAACGGCATTGAGGCGGGTATTGCGGCGGGAGACGCGCCGAGAATGGCGGCGGGCGACGCGGTAGCCTGCTGACGAAAATGCAGGGGATTTCGCGTGAAAGCCGCCGCTGCCGCGTCTCCGCGGCCGTCTCCGCCGCTGGCGGAAGCGGCAAGCCAAGTTTGTTGCATTCTGCTTGAAGACCGCGCGGAAGGTGGCGGTCCGGGAGTCGTATCATTCTGTCGTTGACTCTCACAACCCATTGGCGAGGGTTGATGACGAGCGTCGTCGCGAGTGTCGCGATCGTCGCAGGTTTCGCGATTGTCGTGAGCTTGTTCATTTCCAAGGCGCATCGAATCATGTTGAGCCTTTCCACCGTCCGCAGCGGCGATCATCGCGGATCTTACGTTCCAACGCGCTTCGGCGGATCGCTGATCTTCGTCACGCGGCGCCGCCGAGGCGGAAGCCGCTCCGTCATCGTGCGGAATTTGTAGCAGCGGCAACAGCAACGGTGTCCGTCGCTCCGACTGATGAGGACCACTTTCTAGACGTTGACGTTGACGTTGTCCGTCGTCCAACGGCATGATTTGTTTCTTGTCTGAGCCATTGGAAGAACTGCTATGACGTTCGGCCATCGCGACGTCATCTAATCCAGTATTGAGCTGGACCTTTCTAAACGAGAGCAGGGCCTCGGGTCATGAGACGCCACAAATCTCGAGAACTGAGTGGGCTCTGGTCAGGATTCAAAAACCTGGTCGATAAGGAGCAAGCGCGAGCGCGCGCGATGAGCGATTTGTCTAGAATAGTTGAGGTAAGAGCATAGTGACTAACTTCGCTGAACAAGACAGCTGGAAGGAAGCATGAATAGCCGCGGAAGATCATGATAAGTGTGCCTAACTCTGAGAATGACACTTCTCCAGAGTGGTAAATCGTTGAAGCGCGGATCTAGCCAGCTCCATGCCAGACTCGATGCCGGATTTTAGTCGTCCGTCGCTGTCCAACTGGAAAAACGAACGACGATCACTCCTGACCTGACAGGTGTGAACTGATGTCCTTGAAGGATCTAGCAGTGCTCAAGTTGTGTTTTGTGCTTTGAGCGGAACATTCACATGGTGCGGACAAGCGATGAGAGCGAGAGGAGACGAGTGGTGGGGGGAGATGGCAGCAACGTGGCGTGGCCCGTTCGTGTATGAGCGTGCTGGGGGGGACTGAAAAGAGCACTGATCGTCGATGGTTTGACCAACGGAAAAAAGGGCCGCGTAGCGGCACTCTTCCGCGCGAGCCGAATGTTGAGAGGAGGAAGGAAAGCCAGATTTTTTGTTCCCATTTCTGTCTGTCGAGCAGGGCTGTCGAAGTGTTTGGGGCCAGAAGTTTGGAGGCTGAGCTGCCCCGAAATCCACCTTTAAATCCGTGAGTTCCGGCCCAACCTAGCCCTTTGGCGTATGGGTTCAGGCTGAACTAAGCACGTAAAATCAGGGCAAAAGTCTATTGTGTACTTGAGTGTGTAGTCGTAGTCACATACGCACTTCCGACCTGGTTTGCGTTCTCGCTTTGCATGTCAATATTTTGAAGCCCAATTTTTGCCTCCCAATCAACATGCGGCCTAGTGTGAAGCAAGAAAGTGCTTCGAAATTGGTCGCTCGTGCCTCCTCTCAACATGTGACGACGCGAGTGCGGCGTTAGTACACAGAATCCAGAAGTTTGAGTGTGGAAAGTGTCGAACTGGGTTGGAGTTCGACGCCAGGCTAGGTGTGTTTAAGATCAAAGTACCACGCAAGCCCAGACACGACCTCCTGAGTTCTTCAGCAAGCGGGTTGATTTTGGGAGCTAAGGGATTCATGGGGGGCAGGAGAGTGTATGGGGGTTTGACTGCACACAGGGTCACTTGTGCACATTATCCGGGAAATCAGGGAGGCGAAACAAACCAGCCCTTAACGAATCCGGGTTGGGACCCCGATTCCTCGAAATCAGCCCTTAAGCAAAACAGGCTACCCTCGAAACAAACACTTGAAATGCCGAAGCTGGGATGGAGCTGGCCCGGAATATTCATGGCATTCAGGGAAAATGCTCTTGAATCGACAGGCCTGCTGTGGAGTCCAGCAGAGGACGTTCATTTCGGCACAGCTGGAGGGGAAGGCGAAGGAGAACCATTCAAATTCAGTGGACGTGGGAGGACCACTGTTTCAAGAAGGTCGACAAGATGCAGAAATGGATGGGTGAGGTGAGGAGCTTGTTATGAAATTTCTCCAGTACAGAATTCGATGTTATTCAGAGTTCTAGTTCGCCGAGGGGAAAAAGAACGCCATTAATTATCGAACGAAATTTCTTTTTCCTCGTTAAAGTCGCTGCTATCTCGTTTCTGACAGAGCAAACAAAAATTGCGGAGCTCAAGCAGAATCGGCCATCGGTCACACGGAGTTGCTGGCCCCTCATTTCGTTGAGCCACTCTTCCACTTCAGGGCGAAAGTTTAAAAAAATATGGGCGGAGTCAGGATGTTCTGGATGTACACCTGATCTGTGGTTCATAGTTTAGAAGGACCCTGCACAACACACATGCAAAATTGGCTTAGACACTTCATGGTCCAACAACTCTCTATTCCACCAGTATAAGCCAATCATGCATTGATGCACTTTCAACCCATCTGGATATTCAGCGAAACAAACAAATGTTTCAGGGATCTGGATCCAGAAGAGCACAGGCTGGTGAAACCCGGATTCAGTCGCGCTGAATAAATCCGAGCGGAGGCGGGGTCATCAGTCGACAGGTCCCAGAATCATCAAAATGTTTGGAGACAACACCTTTATTAACGACGTCATCTGGGTGAAACCACTTTCAAAGAAAGAGCCCAAGCAGTCACAGTCCAGCCAGTTGGAATTCCCCGAATCCGTTTTGTGTGCGAATTTGGCTGGAAGGAAAATCGAAGGGAAGTATCGGAGGAAGGACAAATCAGAAAACAGTAAAAACCACAAGGCACAACAAGACACCGGTCATCGAAGCGACATCGAAAGTGCCAAATTTGAAGCAGTGGGCCATCAGCCCACTCATCGTTCAAATGCAGGAGGGAGCATCTAGATGGATTTTGCGCTGTCAATTCTTAGAGATGCTATTGGTAGAAAGTCAGGAAAGTCCCTAATGGTTATGATGACAAAGAAAATCTTGTTGCATCATTGCCCGTCCCAACGTGATTCACCTGCTCTGCCCTTTCGAGGTTTTTTGTTCTGCCCCGAAGGCGGTTGTTTTGGAAGTATGAGTGTTTTGCTCCACCTCTTTTCAAAGCATGTGTATCATTTCTACCTCATACTCGAAAGCACAGCGGAAATATGGCTGGAATCGATACAAGCAAGCCAGCAGACCTGGAATCTTATCCGATTTCCAGTGCTGGGCCCCTCTTGTATTACGACAAGCTACGCAACAAACTCTTCCAGCCAGACCCAATGGTTCTGAAGAACTACTGTATTGTTTCGTTGACAAAACCACAAACTCTTCCTACCTTTCCGTTTCTTCGCGGGGGCAGCCTTGGCAGCATCCCACTCACAAGATTGAACGGTACTTTCATTCAATGAAGAAATGAACGGTGGACGACAAATCTGATGTCGACACTCGTGCACCTACGTGGCAGCTTCACGCCACCCGAATCACCCTTACGTGGCAGTCCTCGTATCGCCCAAGATCCACAACAAACAGACGCAACATGCAACTTGCACGGCAACAAAATGCATGCAGGAGGGGTGAATGTGATTTGGTTGGTACACCCTAATCCGCCTTATTTTCAAAGCCTCAAGCGTGTTTTTAAAGAGACCCTAAATACTTTTCTGTCTAGTGAGACGGACACCCAAAGATTACAGGGATATCAGAAAGTACAGAAGGCAATCCAGTGTGACGAAACTCGCACTTAGGGTTGCGATTGAACGGGCAGTTTGGCAATGACGAAGTTGCTGCTTGCAGTTAACTCGCGTGGGGTATGCGCGTCTATCCACCCGCTGATATTCAGTCTACTTGAACAACCCCCATGACCTAGCCCGACCTAGGGTAGTTCTCCTAAGGTTTGAAGACAATGGCGTTCAAAATAAGGCGGAACAGGTGTACAGCACCGAAAACAGACGGATTTGGCATCTGCCAGACGCGAAGTCCTAAGTGAGACATTTTTGGGAAGGTAGCTTTGGCGGGGGTAATACATCCTGTTCTCGATTATTTCACACCCCTTAATCTCACACACTGGGGTATTTCCCCTAGGTCAATCGTTTTCGTAGGATAGTTACCAGCGTTTAGGAAAACCGCGGATGAGGGTCCGACGAACTTTCGGATTTGGTCGGGGTGCACCAAGAATATAAAAGAGAACCCAAACCTAACTAAACACTTCACCCCGAACATTAAGTGCGAGTATCTTTCTAGAGGCTACCTGCCCGTTGTATCTTTTTAGTCCCTCAATCTCTGGGTGTCCGTCGCATCAAGTCAAAGCCCGTAAAGAGTACCTACGAAAAAAAACGGTAGGGGGTGTGCAATTATCGAGAACTAGGTGTACTAGCGACCCTGCGCTTTCCAGGGAACTACAGTGCTAGTTGCGGGCACTTTCCGCCCCTCTGGCCCTCAGACAGGAAAGTTATGGCAACAGCACAGAACTCGGTCCCATATTCACCCACGTGTCACAAATTCGGGCATTTTTGAGAACGTAGGGCAAAAAAAAATAAAACCCTTAGAGAATCTGAACTCATTTTCGGGAAGGATCAACCCTAAACACGGAAACCCGCATTTTTTAAAAGGGTTGATGCCTCCCCGAGACGCATCCCTTTCCGATTGGGTTTTATTTTTTTTGTCAGGTGAAGAGATTTTGTGACACGTCGGTGAATGTGGGACCGAGTTCTGTGCTGTTGCAATAACTTGCCTGTCGGAGGAACGGAGGGGCGGAAAGTGCCCGCAACTAGCACTGTAGTTCCCTGTCGCATGGTCGCTAGTAGTACCCCCGCCAAAGCTACTTACCGAACATTTTTTATCCTGACGTGGCCCAGCTGTTAGCTGGTTGATTTCCGAAAGATGAGGTCTCGGGATCAACTCCCCCTGCGGCGTATTCAACCAGTCCCCACTAAAAGGGACTACACATGTGCTCATCTGGGAGTGGATATAACAAATTGGTAGGCAGGTTACGACCGACAGACGGGGTAATACCTAAGAGAGTTTCCCCTAAAACCTTTACCTTTACCTACGTGAAACGATTTTGAATGATTTCTTTGTGAAACAATTTTTTAATCAGTGGAAATCTCAGCAGATAGGGCATGAAAAATGGTGGTCGGTCATTTTCTAAACAAGGCCATACAACAAGGCCATACAACTACAGCCTTCAGGTCAAGAGGATACAACTTGAAAGGGGATACACGGGAAAGGAGAGGACACCAGGAAAACCGTTGGTACCATGTCTTCCCACCGCCAAACCCCCACCCCACCCCACTACTTCCCTCAACTATCTCCTCTTTTTCTACCTCACCTACAGTAGCACCCAACCAGATCGATAGTTTCAAAGTATAAATGTGCTATATGTTTGTAGGCTGTAGTGGGGTAGCCAATATGGGGTACAACCTCAACTAGGGTACCCCAACTGGGGTTTCCTATTTGTACCCTTGCTTCTTTCAATCCAACCATTCTTGCCTCATAGTTTTCACATGGTTTCAGAGCAGTAGGTCCGTTAGGACCGATTTTTTTTTTTCCCCGGGCCCACCGAACGCCTGCCTGACTGCGGTTACCGCGCTGCCCCACACGCGCCCTGCCTTGCCTGCCCGTCGCGCTGCCCCTAATCCCGCGCCCGGCCCCTTCCCTGCCCGTCGCGCAGCCCCTAAGCCCGCGCCCGGCCCCTACCTGCCCATCGCGCTGCCCCTACGCCCGCGCCCGGCCCCCTGCCTACCGTCACGCTGCCCCTAGGCCCGCGCCCGGCCCCCTGCCTTACCATCGCGCTGCCCCTAAGCCCGCGCCCGGCCCCTGCCTTACCGTCGCGCTGCCTCTACGCCCGCGCCCGGCCCCTCCCTGCCTGTCGCGCTGCCCCTACGCCCGCGCCCGGCCCCCTGCCTACCGTCGCGCTGCCCCTAAGCCCGCGCCCGGCCCCTGCCTGCCCGTCGCGTTGCCCCTAAGCCCGCGCTCGGCCCCCTGCCTACCGTCGCGCTGCCCCTAAGCCCGCGCCCGGCCCCTGCCTGCCCGTCGCGTTGCCCCTACGCCCGCGCCCGGCCCCCTGCCTACCGTCGCGCTCCCCCTAAGCCCGCGCCCGGCCCCTGCCTGCCCGTCGCGCTGCCCCTAAGCCTGCGCCCGGCCCCCTGCCTGCCCCTGCATCCTGCTTTACGCCTGCCTGCCTTGCGCTACTGCCATGGCGACCATGAATGTGCTAGCTTTCGAACCTGACGGTCGCCCGATCGCATTTCCCACTTGGCTTGACGATCTACAGCTTTTCCTTTTGACTGATGCCAAAGATGGTGTCTCGCTTTTCGACTACGTTACTGGCACTGCCGCTGCTCCTGCTGACAGTGCTCCTGCTGTAGACCGCTCACAGTGGCTGACTCGCGATGCTGCTGCGCGCCTTGCTATCCGCAACCATCTGCCGATCGCTGAGCGCATGCATTTCAGTTAGCACAAAACTGCCAAGGCACTTAATGACGCAGTAGTTGCACGCTACTCCTCCCCAGCCACTGCCGCTGTAGGAGGCCTCATCCTGCCCTACCTGTTCCCTGACCTGTCCTCCTTCCCCACTGCTGCGGACTTGATTACTCACCTTCGCGATAGTGAGGCCCGCTTTAACGCCGCTCTTACTGACGAGTTCCGAGCCAAGAACCCCCCTCCGCTCTACTTTACCCTCTACCTCCTCGTCACCCGCCTCCCTGACACCCTTAGCACAGTCAGGGACCACATCCTCGCCATGGACGCCCCCGAGATCACCCTAGACGACTTCGAGCGGCAGCTTCTCGCAGCAGAGAAGAATCTCCTAGCTGTCGGTGCCGCTCGAGGCACTCCCCGCACTCCCCTCTTTGAGGGGTGCTCCCCCTCCCCCCTCGCCCCCTCATACGCCTCAGTTGCTACTCCCGTTGACCTTCCTGGTGCTGAGAAGGTCGCAGCTGCTTCCGCTCCTAGTGGGAAGCGCGGCGGGGGCCGGGGCGGCAAGGGGGGCAGGGGTGGCGGGGGTGGGGGTGGGGGGAGCGGTGGTGGGGGCGGTGGGGGTGGTGGAGGGGGTGGAGGTGGTCGTGGGGGTGGTGGAGGTGGCAGCGGCGGCAAGGGGGGAGGAGGCGGTGGTGGTGGGGGTGGTGGTGGCAGCGGGAGTGGGACCGGCCAGCAGCAGCAGCAGCGCCAGACCCCCTCCTCTCAGCAGCTTCATGACTGGTATGCTGGGCGTGGGGCGTCTGGGGGTTCTGGTCGCTGCCCCTATGTCATTCTCACTGGCCCTCGCAAGGGCCGCACGTGCAACGGCCTTCACCCTGAGTCCCGTTGCTTTGCGCGCCTCAGCGACGCCTGGCGCGCCAAGTTCCCTGATGCCACTGAGTTCCCCAACTGGGCTGATCTGCTTAGGCGTGATGTCAATGTCTATGATCTTGACTATGATGCAATCCTTGCTGCCATGTATGCATTGACTGTTAGTGCTGAGGGTGACTGCTACTTGTGCGTTCCGCCTGACCTAGGTTTAGAGACTGCAGCCCTAGGTGCTCGTGCGTCTGACCCCTCTGGTACTGCGTCCGCGCAGGCTTTGCACACGTTTACACTTGACTCTGGTGCTTCTCGCTGTTTCTTTCGCGACAGCACCGCAGTCACCCCCCTCCCTGCACCTGTTCCTGTCTCGCTGGCTGACCCCTCTGGGGGCCCAGTGCTTGCACGTGCCACGACTGTGCTTCCGTGCCCGGCGGTCCCGTCTGGTGAGCTGTCAGGTCTCCATGTTCCCTCGTTCTCTACGAACTTGGTGAGCAACGCCGTCCTTCAGGATCACTGGGTTGACACCTGGACTCCTGGAGGACAGCGTGTGGCGATCTGTACCTGCTCCAAGACTGGCCGCCACCTGGCCACGTTCACCCGTGAGCCGGGGTCCAGTCTTTACACTCTCACCACTGTTTCACGCTACACTCCTTTGTCTCCACAGCTGTACGCGTCTGCTCAGGTAGCCACCCAGTGTGAGTGCCGCCGCCTGTCCCACGACACTCTCCTGTGGCACCACCGCCTTGGTCACCCCTCCCTTCCTTGCTTCGAGGGGCGGCAGCGCGCCGCTCCTCACTCCTCCTCGTTCCCTCCCACAGAGGCTCCGCTGCAGACTCTCCACCTGGACGTGTGGGGCCCAGCCCGCGTCCAGGGTCAGGGCCGCGAGCGCTACTTCCTGCTGGTCGTCGACGACTACTCGCGCTACACCACGGTCTTCCCCTTGCGCAGCAAGGGGCAGGTCCCTGATGTTTTGATCCCCTGGATCCGCGCTGCTCGTCTCCAGCTCCGCGAGCGGTTCCAGTCGGACTTTCCTGTCCTGCGTCTGCACTCTGACAGAGGTGGTGAGTTCTCCTCTGACCTCTTGCGAGCCTTCTGTGCGGAGCACGGCATCCGCCAGACGTTCACGCTTCCGGCCTCTCCGCAGCAGAATGGGGTTGCTGAGCGCCGCATTGGCTTAGTCATGGAGGTCGCTCGTACCTCCATGATCCATGCGGCTGCCCCCCATTTTCTGTGGCCGTTTGCGGTCCGCTACGCCGCGCATCAGCTCAACCTCTGGCCCCGTGTCTCCTTGCCGGAGACCTCGCCCACACTGTTGTGGACGGGGGAGGTTGGCGATGCGTCGCGCTTTCGGGTCTGGGGTGCTCCGCCCGCGCCATTCCCTGTGTCTTCCTTGGTTTTCCTCCTGACGCGCCTGGCTGGCAGTTCTACGACCCCACCTCGCGCCGTGTCTTTGCGTCTCAGGATGTCACCTTTGACGAGTCCGTTCCCTTCTACCGTCTCTTTCCCTACCGTACCTCCCCTCGCGCCCCCCCGCCGCTCTTCCTCACCCCAGGTCCTCCCCAGGTAGACCCCCTTCCCGCGCCAGGTCCTGCCCCTTCAGGTGTTTCTCAGGTAGACCCTCCCGTACCTGCGCCTGTTGAGGTCACTGGTGACTCTGGTCCTGCTGGAGGTGTCGTTGGCTCTGGGGGTGCTGGTCCTCGGGGTGCGGAGCCTAGGGGTGCGGAGCCTGGGGGTGCGGAGCCTGGAGGTACTGAGCCTGGGGGTGCGGAGCGTGAGCGTGAGGTGCCTGGAGGTGCTGAGCCTGGGGGTGCGGAGCGTGAGCGTGAGGTGCCTGGAGGTGCTGAGCCTGCGAGTCAGGAGCCTAGTGGTACTCCACCTGAGGGTGCTGTGTTTAAGGGTGACGTGCCTGTGTGTGTGGAGACTGGGGGAGTTGGGCCTGGAGGTGAGCCGACTGAGGGTACTGCGCCTGCTGGGACGCGGTCCCCGTGGAGCGACCGCCTTCGTCCGCGTGTACCTCTTACCTCGCAGCAGCTGCACGACTGGTTCGGGCGCCGTCAGGGTCGCGCTGCTGGAGCTCGAGGCTCTGCTTCTGGAGGTGTTGGAGTTCCTTCCCCTGGTCCCGGAGGTGCTTGTACTGGAGGTACTGGAGCTGCCGGGGCTGGAGGAGCTTTGCGTGAGAGTTCTGCTGCTGGAGACCCTGGGACTGGGGGTGCCGGTTCTGGGGGTGCTACTACTAGTGGAGTTGGTCCTGGAGGTGCTGGAGCTGGTGGTTCTGGAGCTGCTGGGGGTCCTGGAGCTACTGGGGGTGCTGGTGTTGCTGTCAGTGGACCTGGTCCTGGTGGCGCTGTTGCTGAGGGGGCTGGAGCTGCTGGAGGTCCTGGTACTACTACTGCTGGTGACACGGCGCCGCGGCGTCTGTTCTTTGCTCCGCCGTCTCCGTCTTCTCAGCCACCGTCTGACTCGGCGCTTCGACAGGTTCTTAGTCTCGCGTCGTCTACTGGTCTTCCCTTACAGCCTGGCTCACCACTGCCTGCTCCTTCTCCTTACTCTGAGCAGCCAGGAGGTCTTACTGAGCGTCGTGAGCCTGCGTCACGTCCTGTCTCGCCTGTCCGTCCTGGTCGTTCCGGTCGTCGTGTCTCTAGTCTGCGACAGCCGCCTGTTCGCAGCACGCCCCTGGTTGTCAGACGTCCTTCTCCCACTCAGCAGCGTGTTCCTCTGCCGTCTCCCCCTGCGTCCTCTCTGCCTGACGTTCCCGACCCTGAGTCTAACCGGTTTCGTGCTGAGCACCCTACTGTCACGCGTCTGTTAGCCACTGTTGTCACTGACCCGTCCTTTGAGTCTGCGTCTGCGTCTGCCTTGGTCGCTGAGCTGGTTGCCTTCGCTGCTACCTGTCGTCTCGACTACACTGCCAGTCTTGTTACTGAGTCTGAGTCTGTCTGTCCTCCATCCGTCGGGGGTGAGTGTGCTCTTAGCACGGACGTCCTTGAGGACAGGCAGGAGGACCTTGACTGTCTTGCGGCTGCTGTACCTCATCTCACGGCCTGGCTGCTTGCCCCTGAGGGAGACCCGGATGCTATAGACATCCCTACCCCGCGCTCTTACACAGAGGCGATCTCGGGTCCCTACTCCTCTCAGTGGCAGATAGCCATGGACGCAGAGATGGCATCATGGAAGTCCACAGGCACCTATGTCGACGCAGTTCCCCCTCCTGGGGTGAACATCGTCGATGGCATGTGGATTTTCAGAGTGAAGCGGCCGCCGGGTTCTCCGCCTGTCTTCAAGGTGCGTTACGTGGCTCGAGGCTTCAGTCAGCGACAGGGAGTTGACTTCTTCCAGACCTTCTCCCCTACCCCGAAGATGACCACTCTTCGGGTGCTGCTGCACGTTGCCGCTCAGCGTGACTACGAGCTTCACTCTCTTGACTTCAGCACGGCTTTCTTGCAGGGCAGCCTGCACGAGGAGATCTGGCTGCGCCGTCCTCCTGGCTTCACTGGGTCTTTCCCTCCTGGTACCCAGTGGAGCCTCCGACGGCCAGTTTACGGTCTCCGCCAAGCGCCACGTGAGTGGCACGACACACTGAGGGCGACACTTGCGGCTCTTGGGTTTGCTCCCTCCACTGCAGACCCTTCACTGTTCCTGCGCACAGACATGTCGCTGCCGCCGTTCTACATCCTCGTATACGTCGACGACTTGGTCTTTGCTACTGCTGACACTGAGGCACTTGCTCTTGTGAAGTCGGAGCTGCAGAAGAGACACACGTGCACAGACCTGGGTGAGCTGCGCAGTTACCTTGGCTTGCAGATCACCAGGGACAGAGCACGCCGCACCATCACCCTGACTCAGTCACACATGGTGCAGCAGGTCCTTCAGCGCTTCGGCTTCCAGTTCTCCTCACCTCAGTCCACTCCTCTGTCTACCAGCCACTCGCTCTCAGCTCCACCTTCGGACGAGTCCGTAGAGCCGAGTGGCCCGTACCCAGAGCTTGTGGGCTGCCTCATGTACCTGATGACTTGCACTCGACCTGACCTTGCGTACCCTCTTAGCATCCTAGCTCGCTACGTCGCACCTGGGAGACACAGGCGAGAGCACTGGGAGGCTGCTAAGAGAGTGCTGCACTACTTGTGCAGTACATCAGGCATGGGGCTGGTGCTTGGAGGACAGGGCTCGGTTGTCCTCACTGGACACTCAGACGCCTCTTGGGTTGACGACCTGGCTACGCAGCGGTCGTCACAGGGTTACACTTTCAGCCTTGGCTCAGGTTCTGTCTCTTGGCGTTCCACTCGCTCTTCTTCTGTTCTCAGCTCCAGTTGTGAGGCTGAGATCTACGCCACGGCCATGGCTGCACAGGAGCTACGCTGGCTCACCTACCTGCTGACTGACCTGGGTGAGCGGCCTCGTTCTCCTCCAGTTCTGTACGGTGACAACAAGGCAGCTCTTGCCTTGTGTCAGGAGCACAGACTGGAGCACAGAACGAAGCACATTGCTCTCCGTTACTTTCTGGCTCGAGAGCTGCAGCAGCGTGGCCAGCTTCGCCTTGCGTACGTGGACTCGAAGGCCAACACTGCTGATATATTCACCAAGGCGCTTCCGCCTAGTGATCATCAGCGGCACTGCACTGCGTTAGAACTTGTGTCCACGTTCTCTCACTTGCTTACCTCTTGACTTTGTTTGTACTGTGATCTATATATATGTCCTTGCATGCTTGCACTTGCTAGGCTTTGATCACTGTACTACTTGTGTTCTTCTATATAAATCTGCATGTGAACTGGCCTTGTGGCCTTTGCTTGTGCTCAGAGAGTGTGGTGACATTGTGATCCACCCTGAGCTTGTTCTTTGCTTTGCTTGACTGGTCTTATGACCCCTTGCTCTCCCCCACTTTGCCTATGGGGGTGTGTCAAAGTATAAATGTGCTATATGTTTGTAGGCTGTAGTGGGGTAGCCAATATGGGGTACAACCCCAGCTAGGGTTTCCTATTTGTACCCTTGCTTCTTTCAATCCAACCATTCTTGCCTCATAGTTTTCACATCGATCGCACTTTGTATCAAGCAGAATGTTGGGCTGATGGAATTGCGGATCAAGCAGAACAACAATGGTGTGGTTCATCCCTAGACTACGGTATTGGACTCTTGAGAGTTGACTCAAAAGGCAACACAAACAGAGCACTTATGCAAGCAGAACAAGCTCTCTACCTACCCCCTATTCTGATTCCCACACCAGGGTGACTTTTTAGCTGACCAGAGAAGCGCACAGCACATTCCTTCTTACACCGCACCCAGCATATTCTTCACCATTCCCTTGTCAGCACATTCCTTTTCTTTCTACCAGAACCCCACATTTACCGTACTAAGTTCTGGTTTCCGTAGAAACCACAGCTGCTTGTACTGTTGCCCATACCAGCACTCTGAATTGCACAGATGCACCTCAACACATTAGAAAACGTTAACCGCTGCCCGCACACACGTACACACGTACACACGTACACACGTACACACATGCTGAATGCACTGCTGAAACACTCACCACTCAGACTAAAACCACCGAGCCTCACACCACCACCATTCCTGCCCCTCCCACTATTTATCCCCCCCCTTTCCCCCCCAAGATTCCTGCCCTTCCCACCACTCCTGCCCTTCCCACCACTCCTGCCCTTCCCACCATTCCTGCCCTTCCCACCGCTCCTGCCCCTGCCACCACTCCTGCCCCTCCCACCACTCCTGCCCATGCCACCACTAATGCCTTGCCTGGACTGGTGCTTGTACAGCTTGAACGGAACCACCCTGCCAGCAATCCCAAGTGCCCTGACCCACCTGAACCATCCTGAGGCACCTGAACCATCCTGAGGCACCTGAAGCTACTCGAGGCACCTGAAGCTACTCGAGGCACCTGAAGCTACATGAGGCACCTGAAGCTACCTGAGGCACCTGAAACTACCTGAGGCACCTGAAGCTACCTGAGGCACCTGAAACTACCTGAGGCACCTGAAACTACCTGAGGCACCTGAAGCTACCTGAGGCACCTGAAACTACCTGAGGCCGGCACTCAGAGTGTCAGTCCCAGCTGCAGCACCTGAAGCCATCTCCGCTGCTGCTGCTGCTGTCGACCCTCCACTGCCCCCCAGTCCGTCAAACCCTCCCCCAGTCCCACCCTCCCCCCGCCTGCTGCTGCTGCCTCCCCCCCGGCTGTCCTCCACAGGGGCTGCTTTTGACCCCACAGTTGCTACCGCCTCAGATACGCCCTCTGCTGTTCGTGTGCATCCCCCTCCTCCTGCTGCTCCTGCTCCTCCTGCTACTCCTGCTGCTGACTTGTCTCGTTTTCCTAATTCCCCTGCGCCTGCTGCACCTGCTGCTCCCACCACTCCTTCCTCTCCTTGCTTCTTCCTGCCACTCCTCCCTCTGATTTCGGATCCTGCAACCCCACCACTACCCACTCCTCTCGGCACCACACCACCAGAAACACCACCGGTAGCCTCATCAGCCTTCCCAGTACCACCAGCACCAGCACCAGCACCAGCACCAGCACCAGCACCAGCACCAGCAACCGATACAGTTCCAACAGCATCAGCAAAACCATCATCGCCACTCCCACCAGTCCCACCAGCACCATCAATACCAGCAGCAGCAGCAGTACCAGCACCAGCACCAGAACCCCTATCACCAGCATCAGCAGCAGCAGCACCACCGGCAGCACCAGATGCACCACCACCAGCAGCAGTACCACCACCGGCAGCAGCATCAGAAGCAGCAACAGCAGCACCAGAGGCAGCACCAGCAGCAGCAACACCAGGGGTAGCGTGCTCGTGACAGTAGCGGCGCCAGAGGGAGCGATAGGTGGCCTCCAAGTCACGGGTGAAGGCGGGGCCGTCACAGAGGCGCGAGGAGAGCATGCGTGGACGCATGGAGGCTCGCAGCGACGCCAGCTGCGGGATGTCCGCAGCTAGCTGCGTTGCTATGGCTACTCGTCCTCGTTCCGAGCCACCAGGTTCGGCAAGCCTGGAGGGAAGGGGAGGGGTGGGGAAGGGAGATGCGGGGTAGTTTGTGTAGGTGTGAGATTGGTAGGTTGGATATTGCTGCGTACTTGTCTTTGGAGAAAAAGGCTTATACCCTATTTTAAATCACGTTCCGAGCCACGAGGTTCGGCAGGCTCTGCATGCGCTCGTGATTGAGCGGGACCGGCAGCGCCAGGTCGACGAGGAAGCGGGCAGCGACAGGGCGAGCGGCAGGGGGGAAGCTAGGGGGAACGGCGGGGGGAAGCTAGGGGGAACGGCAGGGGGAGTGGCAGGGAAATGCCGACCTTGTCGGCCGGACATGGTAACGCACATGGCACGCCCATGAAGAGCGATTCGCACGCCATTCAACCACTCTCAACCCCTCCATAACTACTCACCCATATTCGTGAGCAGGGAAACGCCGACATTGTTAGCATGCACTCGTCCCGCCATGGTGACACATGGTACGCCCATGAAAAGTGATTCGCACGTGGTGGTGGTGCCGGCATAGGGGAACGAGTCGAGGCTGATATCCATCACGGCGTAGCTCTGCATGTGCTCGTGATTCAACAGCACGAGAGGCAGCAGGTCGACGCGCAGGGGGGAGATGCCGTGGGACTCGAGCTGCGCCATGAGCTGCTGGCTGATGGACGCGCAGGTGAAGGGCTTGCACTTTAGCATCAGGCGCGAGCCAGGCACTGCTAGGAGGATGCGCGCCCACAGGCGGACCACAGCAGGGGTGATCTGGGGGAAGAGAGTGAAGGGGGAATGGGGGAAATGGGGGACGTGCAGGTGAAGGGCTTGCACTTTAGCATCAGACGGGATCCTGGGACGGCGAGAAGGATGCGCGCCCACAGGCGGACGACTGCAGGGGTGATCTGTGGGAGTGGGTGGAAGGGAGAGAGGGTGTGGGAAGAGGGAGGAAGTGCGGAAACGAGAGTGAGAGGTGATGACGGTACCAGCAGTAGCATCTGAGCACGAGGTGCGAGCCAGACACGGCCAGGGGATGTGAGGCCACACCACAGGGGATATGTGCAGGACAGCAGGGGTGATCTGTGGCAGTGGGAAGGGGAGAGGGGATATGCCGCTTGGATAAAAACATGTCTCCCACATTTGAACATAAAGAAAACATCCAATCATGGAGTTCAAAATCAACAATGTACTGCCCAAAAAAATCAATCGACCACTCTCTACCCCGCTAATTAAAAGCCTGCTTTATGTGCCTTAGCAATGGGAGGGAATGACTGATCACAGATGTAGGCAAACTAGCTAACCCTAATGGCAAAAATGTATGCCAGTCGGCATCAGAATAATTGTTGACTCCAACACAGTCGCATCGAATTCGCAAAGCGCGCTGTTGACACGCAAAATTTCCCGGTCTGCCCGGAAGGAAAACAGTGAGCGTCCTGCATCTCGCGTACAGATGCCAGTGAATATTCGGCGGACACTCCCAAACATGCGCATATATGCAAGGTTAAAAAAGACGGTTTTTGTAAAATACGGTCCGTTTTCTACAGTCGTTGTTTACAGAGATTTTTCTAAAAAGCAGCCGTTCATTTGTTAGAGAACTCTGGTCACCAAGAAAAAAAAGGGAAAAAAAAGGTCAAGCACATTTTCAATCATGCCAACAAGCACACACATGCAAAAAGAGGCCCGTCCCCTTCATCCAGCTGGAATTTGGAATCAATTTGGTCACATAAAGTGGCCAATTTGTTGATTTAACTGAAAACACCTCCTGGAACCGTTTTAATGAGTTTTAGATGGTCGTTTTTAAAGGTACCGTTTTTTACGGTAAATTTTCACAAAAAACGGTCGCACTGCACTACACCGCACTGTACCTTAGCAAGGTTGTTGAAGCTGCCAAATGTCACAAAGCCATTGGCCACCGCAGGTGAGGGGGACACTGGCCCTGCTTCAGATGAAGGGGTGTAGCAGAGAAAGCACTACACTGCACTGCACCGCACGACACCACACAGCACCGCACTGTATGTACCTTGGCGAGGTTGTTGAAGCTGCCAAATGTCACAAAGCCATTGGCCACCGCAGGTGAGGGGGACACTGGCCCTGCTTCAGACGAGGGGGTGTAGCAGAGGAAGCATCCTGGAAGGCGCACCAACTCCTCTACATGCCTGTGAGGGGAAAGAGGGAAGGAGCGGAGGAGGAGGAGGAGGAGGAATGGAACAGCAGAAGTGAGGGGAAGAAGAGGGGGGGGGGGGGGGGAAAGAGAACGTTGGAGAAGAGGATGTGTGCAGAGGAATTGAAGTACATCCATCATATGATCATAGAAGACAGCACACGGAATCTGATCACACGGAGGGTGCTACAGTCAGCCTTCCCCGTCTGTGGGCAGACCGGGGAAGGCCGGCTGAGGAAGCAGGGCGGCTCCATCCTGGGCTGAAGATACAGCGAGTAGCGCTCTCCGTATGTTACTAAGGCTGGGCGGGGCGGGGCAACCGTGTGTGGTGGACGGGAGGAGGGGGCGGGGACGAAGATGCCAACCTCTGGGTGCTTCTGATCTGATCTGAGAGGGAACAAGGGGAGAAAAGGCGGATCCCTATTCTACCTACCTCTGGCTGCTGCTGGGGGGGTCAGCCAGGGCGTCAGTCAGCCGGTAGTCAATGGCCCTCAGTCCTGTGGTATTCGGGTATCCAATCCACGTGGCCTGGATGGGCGCGGCCTTGCACGCCATCACGCCCAGTCGGTTGTTGGCCGTGTGCCCTGTGAGCTCCACCAGTATATCCACTCCGTCTTCCCGCACCATGGCTGCCACTCGCCTCTCGTCCACCCCGAATATGTCCCGCCACACCCCGCCTTTACTTTGGACTGCTTCTTTGAACCGGCTGGTTTTCCCATCCGCCTGAAGGGGAGGAAGCGAAGACAAGGGAAGGGGAGGAGGCCGGAGGGCGAGGAAAGAGGCGAGGGGGAGTAGAAAAAAGCGCAGTGAGTGAATGAGGCCCCATGTGCCCTGTGAGCTCCACCAGAATGTCCACACCGTCTTCTCTTCCCGCACCACGTGAATGAGACATTCTGCCACTCGCCGCTCGTCCACCCCGAATATGTCCCGCCACACCCCGCCCTTGCTCTGCTCGAACAGACTCGTCTTGCTGTATGTACCCCACCACCAGCCCCTGCTCTCATCCACCACTTGTCTGGCCTTGACCCACGTTGACTCACCTTGACCACGGCCGAGTAAACCACCACTTTGACCACATTCGGGTCATGGTATGTTAGGGGCGCCTCTATGAAGTAGGAGACGGAGTGAGTGAAGTAGTCGGGCGATATGTACCCCACCACCAGCCGCCGGTCCCATTCACCCCATTGACCCTTGACACCGGTTGACCCCATTGACCCACCTTGACTACAGCCGAGTAAACCACCACTTTGACCACATTCGGGTCATGGTATGTTAGGGGCGCCTCCTCTATGAAGTAGGAAACGGAGTGCGTGAAGTAGTCGGGCGATATGTACCCCACCACCAGCCTGCGGAAGCCATTGACTCACCTTGACCACGGCTGAATAGACCACCACTTTGACCACATTAGGGTCGTGGTAAGTCAAAGGAGCCTCTATGAAGTAGGAGACGGAGTGGGTGAAGTAGTCGGGCGATATGTACCCCACCACCAGCCGCCGGTCCGGGCGGCACGAGTTGGGCCACGAGGAGAAGCGGGGAAAGAGACGTGAGAAGCGCTCGCCCCAGTCCCTGATAGGTGAGGGAAGAAAAAGGGGGGGGGGGAGAAAAGGGTATGGGTAAAATCACGAGGAGAAGTGTGGGAAGAGGCGTGAAAAGCGCTCCCCCTAGTCCCTGGGAGGAGAAAGAGGGGGAAGAAACGGGAGGGGGAGGGAGAGGGAGGAGGGGGGAAGGGGGTATAATAGCGGGCAAGGCTCGCCCAGCATGAGTTGGGCCACGAGGAGAAGCGGGGAAAGAGGCGTGAGAAGCGCTCCCAGTCCCTGTCGTGAGGGGAGAAGAGAGACCAGCGGTAGAGGATGGGATGACAAAAGAACAGAAGGCTGAAAAGGAACAGCCGGACATGAGCAACTCCCCTTGTTGCAAGCGCTTTTTGAGAATTCTAGGAGAAAAGCACGCCTGCAACGAGGAGGATGGAACGTACAGCGAGTCACAAACACTCCTCCAATCTCTTGCTTTGCCCTTCCTCCTCCCCTCTCTCCCTCATTTTCAACCTCAGCTTCTCAACATCCAAACCGCTCACAACCGCTCCTTACCGGTGAGCAACAAACAGTGAGTCATCCAGCCCGTCGTGAATGTAGTTCATGGCTAGTAGACGGTTCTGATGTGGGAGAGGGAGGGGGGGGAGGAGGGAAGGGGGGGGAGGAGGGAAGGGGGGGAGGAGGGAAGGGGGGGAGGAGGGAAGGGGGGAGGAGGGAAGGGGGGGGAGGAGGGGGAAGAGGGGG